ACTACCCCCTTCCCTTTTATGATTTTAAAACTTTAGAATCTACCCTACCCCAGAATGCTTCCATATAAGTTTCAGCTTTCCTGGCCCAGTGGTTCTTGAGAAGATTATTTTTAAAGATTTGTTCTATATATTTCTATGTAAAACTTGGATTCCCTATTGTGGCCTCGCCCTTCCCCCGGGGGTCATGATTTTAACAATTTAATATCTACACTACCCAATGATGCTTCCACATAAGTTTCAGCTTTTCTGGCCCAGTGGTTCTTGAGAAGAAGATTTTTAAAGATTTGTTCTACTAGTATATATTTCTATGTAAAACTTGGATTCCCTATTGTGGCCCCGCCCTTCCCCCGGGGGTCATGATTTTAACAATTCAATATCTACACTACCCAAGAATGCTTCCACATAAGTTTCAGCTTTCCTGGCCCAGTGGTTCTTGAGAAGAAGATTTTTAAAGATTTGTTCTATGTATTTCTATGTAAAACTTGGATTCCCTATTGTGGCCCCGCCCTACCCCTGGGGGTCATGATTTTAATAATTTAATATCTACACTACCCAATGATGCTTCCACATAAGTTTCAGCTTTCTTGGCCCAGTGGTTCTTGAGAAGAAGACTTTTTAGTGACCCAATCCTATTTTTGTCTTTTCTTGATTATCTCCCCTTGTAAGGGGACTTGGCCCTTCATTTTAACAATTTAAACTCTCCTTCACCCAAGGATGCTTTGGTTAAAATTGGCCCATTGGTTCTTGAGAAGAAGTCGAAAATGTGAAAAGTTTACAGACGGACGGACGACGGACAAAATGTGATCAGAAAAGCTCACTTGAGCCTTCGGCTCAGGTGAGCTAACAAGAGGCCCATGGGCCACATCGCTCACCTGAGCATTGTGGCTAGGAAAAGGTAGAAATTGGTTTATTATTGTAAAGTTTAAATCCAAAAGTAGTCCCATGACCAATCATGGATTTGCTAATCTTGAGAAAATGATTTTTAAAGAATTTTCCTATATATTTCTATGTAAAACTTTGGTCCGCCATTTCGGCCCCACCCTACCCCCGGGGGGTCATGATTTGAACAAACTTGAATCTACCCTACCTGAGCATGATTCCATATAAATATGATGAATTATGGCTTTGCTATTCTTGAGAGGAAGATTTTTAAAGAATTTTCCTATATATTTCTATGTAAAACTTTGGTCGGCCATTTTGGCCCCGCCCTACCCAGGAGGGTCATGATTTGAACAAACTTGAATCTATACTACCTGAGCATGTTTCCCCATAAGTTTCATCTTTCCAGGCACAGTGGTTCTTGAGAAGAAGATTTTTAAAATATGCCACCAAATTTTCATTAATTCCCAATTATCTCCCCTTGCATCAGGGTGTGGCCCTTCACCCAAGGATGCTTTGTGGCAAGTTTGGTTGAAATTGGCCCAGCGGTTCTTGAGAAGAAGTCGAAAATAAGAAAAGTTTACAGACAGACTGACGGACGGACGGACAGACAGACAGACGGACGCCGGACAAAATGTGATCAGAAAAGCTCACTTGAGCCTTCGGCTCAGTTGAGCTAAAAATTCAAAAAATTGAAAATGTAATTTGTAATTTAATTAATTACTTTTGTAAAGTATATTATACATTGTACATAGGTAGTATAACTGGTCTAGCTAGCCCGGAAGTGACGTCATAACCGGAAGTGGTTTAACCGGAAGTGGCCTAGGTAGAAGTGGTCTAGCGGAAGCGGCCTAGCTAGACCCTAAGTGGTCTAGCGAAAGCGGAAGTGGGCCCTAGCGGAAGCGGAAGTGGCCTAGCGGAAGTGGGCTAGGCAGAAGTGTCCTAGCCGGAAGTAGTCTGGCTAGGGGGTTCAATATCTAGGACATTATGCAAATGAGGTCAAAAATGGAGGATTCTGATTGGCTGGGAGGATACGGGGGTCAAGGGAGTGCAGCCCCCTGGGGGATAAGGGGGTCAAGGGAGTGCAGTCCCCTGGGGGATAAGGGGGTCAAGGGAGTGCAGCCCCCCCCTGGGGGATAGGGGGTCAAGAGAGTGCAGATTGGGGGGTGTGGGGAGGATAGGGGGGTTCAACTCAGTACAGTCCTTGGGGTAGGGATAGGTGGGGATTCAGTATATGGCTCTAAATATAGTGTTTTACACTCTACGCTGCGACTACTTTTTTTATGTACACAGGTAAACACTTGGCAGCGACTCAAGAATGTTATTATGACGTCACGATTTCATTCACTGGGGTTTGTTTAGGGTCGTGTGCAAAAAATACGATAGACTTACGTTTTGATCGTACTGTGTACGTCTAGTCAGCCAGCTTACCTATGCATTGTGACGTCATCCACTTGTAAAATTAAAGTTTCATTTTCACTTTTGTTTCTAAGAAGTGAACTTAGATTGGACTATCTTTTGTTTTTACTCTCTTTTTCTATGATGATTTTCCTATTGTGAAGCTTTTCTTGTATAAAGCTCAATTTCTCTATGACCACGGAAGTAAACATCCTGATGCATTCTTGTCATGTGAATGTTGAGAGCGTGTTCATTTTTGAAATCTTTCTGACAGACATATTCTACAGGTAAGTTTGTCTTATTTTTGTTCACATTTTCTATGAAGGTCATCTTTGCATTTAACCATGATTTATATGTAAAGTTCTATTTTGAATGTAAATGCTGTATTTATCCTCATTTCATATGATTTACAGTTGTATAACCTGCATGTAACTCAGAGTGCATTTAATATTTCTATGATGGGTCATTCTATGATTGAATTTAAATCAGAAAAATATTCACTAAGTTTTGGTAAAATACATTGTGTCTTACATTTCTGTCCCTTTTGTCTGTAAATTATTGCTTTACTTACATTGTAAAATGAGGTTATATGTGTCTCACTGATTTGTATGATTTTTTCAGGATCAGCTGAGATGTTATTTCACTGGATTATTTAATGGATAGACTTATTGGGCATATATTTGGATATCTCTGGTAAGTTTTTCTTGTTTTTTAATTGTTTACATTTCCTATGAAGGTCATCTTTGCACTTAAGCATGATTATATGGTTAATTTAATTACTGTGTAATACTTATGTGATCTGATGTCTCTAACATTCATATAAGCACACCTTTATTTAGCCTAAAGGGATCTTCAGAATGTTAATAAGTCCTTTGCATAAATTATGATGTAATTTTATATTTCATTATGTCTGTTACCCATGGAATTCAAACTTACTAAATAGTGATCAAAAAGATATTAAGAATGTTAAATAACAGAAAAGTAAAAATCTACAAAACATTAATCCTAAGAGTAATTTACTTTTGTTTTGATTCTAAATATGTGTGATATATGGTATACATAATTATAATTTCATTTTCACTTTTGTTTCTTGGTAATGAGCTTTTCAAAAAAAAAAAAAAAAAAATAAATAAATAAATAAAGGACTACATGTTGTACTGTGATGATGCTAAAAAAATGTATTTTTCTGTAAACAGTATTGAAAGGTATTAAACAAAATTGAATCTACTGTTAAGAAAAAGTCTTTTAGTGTCTAAATAATTACTCTGATAATCATTTTCTTTGTGATAATGATACTGTAGTTGTGCTTGTTTATTATCTATAGATAACATGATGAACTTTTCTTATCTGGAGTTAATGTTAAAAAACAATTTTTCGAGATTAAAAACAAATATTTTCATGATCCTTTTTTTTTTGGCATTGTACATGTTGTATTTAAACATGCATTGTTTCATGCAGTACTCTGTCATATTAACAAAATGGTTTTATTTCTACATGCTGACAGTGAATCTAATCATTTTTTTAAACTGGTTAAAGCAATGTTTACAACTGTCTTAAAATGCTCAAATGCAAGTTTATTTCATGCACAAATACCTTAAATGTATAGACTAAATGTACTTTTAGATTCAATTTATAGATTAACCCCTTATAAATAGTAAAAACCATTTCTTAAACCTGATTTTCTTGTTTATTCTCTCATGCATTACCTAATTTGAGTATTCTCAAATTATTGATTACATGAACAAACAAATTTAAGACAAAACTACAATATATGCTGAATGCCCTGGAAATGAAATGGTTACATATGTAAGATGTATAACACATCATGTACAACTTTTAAGTCTACAAAATTTTAAGTTAACCATATTATACAATAAGACTACTTTTTTCAAAGTTATGAGAAATTCTCAACAAAAAATGTATTTATGCAAAAGATAAATGTTAGGGTACAATTTTAAAATACATTTTACATGAATCACATAAAGAGCATATCAAATCATTTCTTCGTGGTTATTTTCCTTTGGAACATCTGTGAACAAACATTCTGTTTTGTCTTTTTTTTGATACATAAAAAGCGTCCAAAAATCATTTGGAATTGTTGTGTTAAACCCTGATACTCAGAATTTTAAGAGTTTCTGATGTGTGCCCTACTTAGAAATGTTTACATTGTAACAAAGATGAAACTCATAATTGATTTAATCAGCAATTATAAAGTCATCAGGTTTACACATGCTTTTCTAACACATCATGTACATTTTTTTTCTACTAGTATGTCTTTGTTCACAAAAAATTGAAATCAACAGTACTTAGCATTCCATATTAAGAAATATGTACCCTAGCTATTAAAAATCTAAAAGTATATTTGTGCATCAATGCATTATGTTTAACAAAACAATCTCTTTCACTGTGATGAAAATTGTCTTCCTCATATAACATGCAGATGAAGAACTTCTTTGGATGATGTCATTTTCACATGTAGAAAAGAAACTAATTCAACTAAAACTAAAAGACAGTCATTAAAATTTTAAGGACATTAAAGGATGATATCAAGAACGAAGTCCAGGAATTGATAAAATTCTACAATTATCATCCAAAGATGTATATGTTTGGATTTATTTTTTAATTCACAAGCAAATGATATGTTACCACTTAATCTTTCAAACTTAAAAAAAAAATTCTATACTTTTTGAATTAAAAATTTCAAAATCTAGAGGATTCTTCCCAATACCTATCTACATGTATTTATGACTGAAGGTATGTAAATCACCAGAGTTGCTGTACTGCACCATTTGAATAAAAGTCATATCCACATTCTTGACTTTTTTCCCTAAACCTTATTTCAAAACATAAATTATCCCAACCAGTCTTTATCTACGCAGTGATAATAAAATTTGTACAGAATTCTAAGGTATTACATAGTAATAGTCTTTAAACATCCTTGAACATAGTGCATATGATTAACATTTCAATTCTTTCCAAAGAATATGCTATGCCACCCAATAGAGCTGATATAAAGTCTTTAGGTTATCACAAAATGTTAAAGTTACAACAACTAAATTTTATCCAGGAGAAAATGATCCAAAAAATCTATAGAAAATCTCCGAATCTTTCTTTACTTATGATGCGAATTTTGCAGGTTACAAATTATTGTCAAAGGTATTTATCTCAATAATCTCATGCTTTGACCCTGACAAAGTGTCCTATAAAACTAAGTGTATTACTCTAACCTGTTCTGTGTAGTAAGCATGAAGTCTAATGGTTGATAGAAATATTCAAAATATAATTATTACATCACAGATCAGGGGGACACTTACATCTTTATGGGGGTCCTATTGAGACCTATTAAATTCAAAATAGGACACACACATACACAAACAAAATGTATTTACAGTTCCAGGAAAGTAATAATTACACCAAAGCTAGCTTTTAGGGGTTGTAGAAATAAGATGAAAAATAAAAGGTTTAAATGTATACTTCTCATACATAACAACTGTCTTCAATAGGAATTGGTAAAAATAAAAGTCACATTTAGATACTTTGAAGTCTGGGAATTATTTTTTTTGAAGATCTCATACTATCAGAAAATCACAATATCAATTCTAGGATTTGATTAGACCTCAGTTTGTTAAATGACTGCAATTTATCTATTGTTGTGTATGACAGAATATGAAAGATATGAAGGGGAGAGCTTTTGAACTTTTTTTCCCCCTTCATCATAGTTTAAAATATATATTATACCGGTCTTTATCTAAGTAGTGAATATAGGATTTTTACAGAAACCCTAGGTATTACATAGTAATAGTCATATAAACACCCTTGAACATTGTACATTTGATTAACATTTCAATCCTTTCCTAAGAATTTGCACCTAATTTTTATAAAGTCTATAAGTTATCACACAATGTTTAAGTTATTGCATTACAGGACTCAAATCAGTAATCTCAGTAAGTAACTAACTTTTACCCAGGAGTAAATGATCCAAAAAATCTATAGAAATATCTTATTGATTCTTCATCTGTGTACTTATGATGTGAAGTTTGTAAGTTACAAATTATTGTCAAAGGTAGTTATCTCAATACTGTAGATCACTAAATTTTCGCGACACTTTATTTTCGCAAGATAGTCATTGACTCTTGATTAGCGAGACAAATTTTTCACGAATTGTGGTTATAGCTCTATATAATCTTAAGGAATGCTATTATACACGAGAATTAAATTTTCGCGAGCACACTGTCTCGCGTAATTATGCCAAAATTAAGTTCTCGCGAATAAAAAGTGATTTACAGTAATCTTATGCTTTGACCTTGACAAAGTGTCCTAAACAACAAAGTGTATTCCTACAACCATTCTATATGTAATAAATATGTACAATATGGTATGATAAGGATATTCAAGATATTATTAAATCACAGATTATGGGACACTTGCATCTTTATTGGGGGTCTTATTGAGACCCAATTTAAATTCAAAATTAAACATGATACATACACAAATATATTTACCATTCCAGGAAAGTTAAATAATAATATTAAATCCAGCATCTGAATATCTGTGTAATTTCTAGGGGGTTATAGAAATAAGATGAAAAATAAAAGGTTTAAATGTATACTTCTCATACATAACAACAGTCTTCAATAGGAATTGGTAAAAATAAAAGTCACATTCAGATACTTTGAGGTCCGTGAGAATTAATTTTTAAAGAGTTCATGCTATCAGAAAATCATATTTTCAATACAATTGTACTTGATTTGACTAGATCTCAGTTTAATAAATGATTACATCTTATCCATAGTCAGTGTCTGACAGTAAAAAGATACAATCCTGGGTCCTTTCTTTGTCATCCTGTAAACCACAGTCTATGATCGTACTGGTTAAATTGGTTGGAAATCATATTTATCTATGTTCTTCTTAAATCGTCCATCCATCTCCTGTTTGGTTTTCTTGTTTCAGTGTTCAAGACAGGATATTCTGTTAGTCTTTGCATAATCTGATAGTCTTTCACCATTCTGAGAGTAGACATAGATCATTTCCATAAGCCCTCACTAGAGAATCCTGAAAAATAAAAAAAAAATGTCTTAGTTGAAAAAAAAAATTGTTATATAATATAAGCTTGATGGAATTCTAAATATAGACAAAAAAAAGGGTATATAAACAAGATGTAACATAAGATTTTGACTTTTCATATTAACCATGGGTAACACCTCTAGTAAAGAAAAGAGTAAAGGAATGAGTAAAATTCAGTTTGGAGAGAGAATTCTTTCAGAGAAAGATGTAGACAGAGGTATACCAGTTAAAATAAAAAAAGATGGCACTATTGAGATCATTTCTCAAGAAGAATATAACCAATTATGTCCAGAAAAGGGTGATCCTAATGTTGTCAGAGATTACATAGAAAGACCCAATGAAGAATACAACCATTTATTACCAAAAGAGGGTGAGAATTACTTGGATTACCCTGAAAGACCTTTGACTAGAGAAGAAGTCAAGTTTATAGATGATAAGAGAAAACAGTTGTCAGAAAAAAAAAGATTGTTAAAGACACAGGATTTTAAACCCACAAAACCATTGGAGATACAAGGATTACAAGATACAAGGATTAATGGAGGAAGTCCAAACTGAACTCTTGGAAGACATTAAGGCTCATTATGAGAGTAACTTTCCAGTCTTTGTTTATTATATTAAAATTATGTATTCTGATAAAAAAAAGGAAAGTTTTCACTTTCATTTGTTTTGCCTTTTACCATTTAAATTGACCTTATGGTCAAGATTGTGATATATACACTCTGATAATCATCTACGATGTCTCTATGATGTTTACCTCAAAAGATTGAATCAGGGTATTTGTGTTTAAAGAGCTGAATAAACTATACAGACAGATCTAAGATTTTGGAAGCATACATATTAATGAGGTTAAAGGAGATATAACACTAGATTATTAAAAAGAAAGAACACAAACTCATAGAAATGATATTGAAAGTACCTTTTATGAATAAAGTGTCATGCTCCAAGGTATTATTTTTATGAACAGGAGAAGGTTTACAGCAGTCCCATACACTCATAAGATCTTGGGTAGTAGAAACACCAGGAAATTTTATTTCCACACAATCACATCATCTTACATCAGTTATAAGGTTACAATCTTTATACATAGTTAAGAGGGTCATTAAGATTTCTTTTCTGGTCATCCTAATGAGCCACATTATAGTATTCTTTCCCTTTGATATAATGTTAATATTAAATGGAAAATTCAGAATTCATCAGCAATTGAAGTCAAAACTTCCTATCTTTACTAATTATACTATTAAGGAAGCTGGGGTTAACAAATTAGCCATATTTAACTTATTCTATAAATATGCTATCTTCAGCTGTTAACTATCATTTGGCAAAGAAAAATTTCATACATTTTAGTTTTAAAAATTTGATCATGAATTTTTATGCCTTTTCTTCTTCTTCTAAAGGATATCAAAATAGTTTAAACATGACCATGACCACCAAGCCCTCTTTATTTAAAAAGTCGTACATCATTTACTTATCAATTCATAAATATAAAAATGCATATGTAAATAAATAAAATAAATAAAAATTCCAATTGTATCTCATTGAAACTTTACCTTCAAGTTTGTGTGTTTCTATGTTGGTTGACTAACTGTGTATTTCCAAAGGAAGAGCAGACAGTCTGAACTTCATAGAGAATTAATTATAGATGGTTAGGAACAAAACATATCTTCCATGTTGATGACTGTAGAAATAAAACCATTTTGTTAATATGACAGAGTACTGCATGAAACAATGCATGTTTAAATACAACATGTACAATGCCAAAAAAAAAGGATCATGAAAATATTTGTTTTTAATCTCGAAAAATTGTTTTTTAACATTAACTCCAGATGAGAAAAGTTCATCATGTTATCTATAGATAATAAACAAGCACAACTATAGTATCATTCCCGTACGAAACAGTCCGGGCGGCTTAGACACGGCTCAGGCACGGATTCCGTCTCCTGAAACCCGTGCTTTAGCATTCCGTGCTCCTATGTAAAGCATGTATGGAAAGCCGTGCATAAAAGTGGTCGAGGCACGGACACGGCACGGGATATTGGCCGAATTATTTAAATGAGATCACACCGTTTTACAAAACCCGTGTCAGAAAGCCGTGCTTGTTTCCATATATGGACTCACGGATTCTGTGAACCCGTGTCTGAAACCCGTGTCCTTTTCCTTATATGGAGACACGGTTTTTTTGAAAACCGTGTCAAAAAAGCCGTGCCATATACCATATAAGGAGTCACGGGATCTGTGCATTTGTCTAGATCTAGGTCATGGCCTTTAGAAAATTTCTTGATGTAACTGTGAATGCCAAAATGGTGACTGAAACCAAACTAACTTCACATTGCTTTACATTTATGCTTAGTTTTAGAATTTCAAAAGTTAAAAATCTTATATTAATGTGTACATTTACTTTCTGTTAAAGATTAACTTTATCAGTTACAATCCATGCTAGTTTTTAATTAAGATTTTAATGATATTGTACAACATTCAATTGTAATTTAATCTAGTAGCTAAGTTTGCACAATCTGAGAAAGAATTTAGTTTAAATAAAACTAAATTCACCCTATAACACAGTGATGTCACATAAAATATATACTAGAAAGGATTAGTGAAAGTCCAACTAAAGTCATTCACTTTTATTTGACAAATAAGCTATTTCATCATGTTCATTGTCAACATTGAAATACAGAAAGATCATGAAAATTGAAAAATTGACTTATTTATTCTAGATTACACTTACTGCATTTAGTTCAAAAGTGGTAGAAATTATCCCAGACTGACATAAATACAATTCCAACTGACATCTATTAGTTAAATATCCTTTAAATAGAGCAAAAAGACACATTGACTTAGCTCATGACCATGAATCCCTCCAATTTAATATTCAAATAAAGGAAGTTATGATTGAGCATGCTCAGTAAAAAGCCGTGAGATATAAATAAATAGTTTGAAGCAAAACCCGCCTGAGTTAAAAACCGTCTCCCTGGGACACGGATTCCGTGTCTCCACACGGGTTTCTGTGAGTGAGGATTCCTCACTTTCAGACACGGAAGCCGTGTCCGTGTCTTGGACATGCAGAACCCGTGCAGCTTTTTAAAAACCCGTGCGGATTCCGTGTCTTAGCCGTGCCCAAGCCGTGCCTATTCCACCTCGAACTTTCGTACGGGTTATCACAAAGAAAATGATTATCAGAGTAATTATTTAGACACTAAAAGACTTTTTCTTAACAGCTAGATTCAATTTTGTTTAATACCTTTCAATACTGTTTACAGAAAAATACATTTTTTTTGCATCATCACAGTACAACATGTAGTCCTTTATTTATTTATTTATTTTTTTTGGAAAAGCTCATTACCAAGAAACAAAAGTGAAAATGAAATTATATGTATACCATATATCACACATATTTAGAATCAAAACTAAAGTAAATTACTCTTAGGATTAATCTTTTGTAGATTTTTATTTTTCTGTTATTACATTCTTAATATCTTTTTGATCACTATTTAGTAAGTTTGAATTCCATGGGTAACAGACATAATGAAATATGAAATTATATCATAATTTATGCAAAGAACTTATTAACATTCTGAAGATCCCTTTAGGCTAAATAAAGGTGTGCTTATATGAATGTTAGAGATATGAGATCACATAAGAATTACACAGTAATTAAATTAAACCATATAATCATGCTTAAATGCAAAGATGACCTTCATAGGAAATGTAAACAATTAAAAAACAAGAAAAACTTACCAGAGATATCCAAATATATGCCCAATAAGTCTATCCATTAAATAATCCAGTGAAATAACATCTCAGCTGATCCTGAAAAAATCATACAATTCAGTGAGACACATATAACCTCATTTTACAATGTAAGTAAAGCAATAATTTACAGACAAAAGGGACAGAAATGTAAGACACAATGTATTTTACCAAAACTTAGTGAATATTTTTCTGATTTAAATTCAATCATAGAATGACCCATCATAGAAATATTAAATGCACTCTGAGTTACATGCAGGTTATACAACTGTAAATCATATGAAATGAGAATAAATACAGCATTTACACTCAAAATAGAACTTTACATATAAATCATGGTTAAATGCATAGGAAATGTAAACAAAAATAAGACAAACTTACCTGTAGAATATGTCTGTCAGAAAGATTTCAAAAATGAACACGCTCTCAACATTCACATGACAAGAATGCATCAGGATGTTTACTTCCGTGGTCATAGAGAAATTGAGCTTTATACAAGAAAAGCTTCACAATAGGAAAATCATCATAGAAAAAGAGAGTAAAAACAAAAGATAGTCCAATCTAAGTTCACTTCTTAGAAACAAAAGTGAAAATGAAACTTTAATTTTACAAGTGGATGACGTCACAATGCATAGGTAAGCTGGCTGACTAGACGTACACAGTACGATCAAAACGTAAGTCTATCGTATTTTTTGCACACGACCCTAAACAAACCCCAGTGAATGAAATCGTGACATCATAATAACATTCTTAAGTTGCTGCCAAGTGTTTACCTGTGTACATAAAAAAAGTAGTCGCAGCGTAGAGTGTAAAACACTATATTTAGAGCCATATACTGAATCCCCACCTATCCCTACCCCAAGGACTGTACTGAGTTGAACCCCCCTATCCTCCCCACACCCCCCAATCTGCACTCTCTTGACCCCCTATCCCCCAGGGGGGGGGGCTGCACTCCCTTGACCCCCTTATCCCCCAGGGGGCTGCACTCCCTTGACCCCCTTATCCTCCCAGCCAATCAGAATCCTCCATTTTTGACCTCATTTGCATAATGTCCTAGATATTGAACCCCCTAGCTAGACTACTTCCGGCTAGGACACTTCTGCCTAGCCCACTTCCGCTAGGCCACTTCCGCTTCCGCTAGGGCCCACTTCCGCTTCCGCTAGACCACTTCCACCTAGGCCACTTCCGGCCACTTCCGGTTAAACCACTTCCGGTTATGGCGTCACTTCCGGGCTAGCTAGACCCGTTATACTACTTACATACATTGTAGCGAGACGAGCTAAAACTATTTAGAATTGAAGGTTTGTTGAAGAAAAAACCACTTCAGAACATTTTTTCTGTTTAAATTTACTTTTACAGTAAAATTATAACTTACTCTTTAGTCTTTAAATAAACATTGTATATTGAATAACAGACTATATTAGTGAATATTGAATTCCTTGACTACAATACATACTACATGTCATGATGTGTGCTCAAATTGTTCTGATGATTTTTCATGAGTAAAAGAGGGTGTGTATGTATGAGTGTCCAGCAGCTATAGACTGAATATGCTGTGTAGGCCTACACTTGTAATAATGGACAAGCTCAAAAATAAAAAAAAAATAATTTAAACACATTAGAACCAGTAGTTCTTGTTACCCACTCACAACGGAGTTGGAGAGGGTGATATAGCACACAACCGTGTGTTCGTTTGCGGGTGAGTGAGATATAATAATGCTGTGCATAACGGAAGCGACATAATTTGCATCAGGGTCGATGTCATTTTTTAGATATGCTCTTTGCGAAGGGATGCTCCGTTTTGCGATGTCCTTGTTATGTATACATTATTTTCCCCAGCAGAAATTTAATAAATAAATTTTTCAATGCATACATGTATGCTACTCAGAGACTATTGCTGTACTTTTATGCATACATGTAGTTTGTTTTGTGACAAACTGCCTCTCATACATTAAAAATCAACCCATATAAGGAAAAAATATATTCAGAGTTCTGGGAAACATTAGTTCTAAATAGTTTAAGGCTGATTCTCAGTTTAAAAAATCTTTTTTTAAAAATACCCTGCTTATATATCTTTCAGAGTGCTCGAAAAATCGATATCTCCTAACTTTCATTTTTGGATCACTAAAGTGGTTGCTCTCCACCTCACTAGAAAAAAAATACTTATATATATATAGCTATTCTTGATCCTAAAATATACTTTTATATACAAGTATGCATTGCTGTTGATCTTCCTCGTTTTCTCAAATAAATTTTACCTAAATTAGAACCACATCAGTAAAACCTTTAAAAAGATACGTAATTTTAAATGGATGTCACTTTACAGGAACACAACTATATAACGGCTAATTTATAAATTAGCAGCACATACATACATTTTTATGCCTCCGGGTTAAAAGATCCCGGAGGTATGTTGTTTTCTTTCTTTTCACTCTTTTTGATGGGTCTTACATCATAGTACGTACAAGAAAAGATTTTTTTCTATATATATATATATATATATATAGGATGGTGTATTTTGCGCACTCTTTTTATATACAGTAACATGAAATGTTTAAATCACGCCAATTTCAGCGATTTAAAAAAAAAATTATTGTCCTAAGAGTATTCAGAAAATTTAGAAAAGCACATAATATACAAAATACACCATCCTGAAACCAAGCGAATATGTATCCAACAAGTAAAATTGATGCAAATCATCAAATTGACCGCAAACAAAATATAACATTTCAAAACGTACTTTCACATGTATATCTCCTCCAATTCCATTGCCAGGGGATAATAAACTTTGCTCTGCATCGTGTGATAAACTGGAATTGAGAAGTGATAGTAGATACAAACATCTATATTTGATAGTATTGTTTTGTTGCCTAAGAATGTTTAAGAAATACACTTGTACCAAAGTAAATTCACAGCTCTGCGGTACTTATTACTGGAACCTTATTTTTATAAATTCCTTGGGATTTTTCTCTTTTTCAGGGGGGGGGGGGGGGGGGGGGGGGGGGGGGTCAGTAAGAGGGGGAAAATAACCTGGGCTAGCTTTATGTACTTTGTAAATATTTAATTACATCTATACTTAGTCTCTTACACATATAAAAATCTTTAAAGAAGACCCTGGTGAAAACCAGGAGTAACAAACAATATCACATTATATCTCCAACACTCAATAAATAATGCAAAAAAGTTGTTAGTACATTTCAAACTCAGGTAATGTATATGGCACCATTAAAAATGTAAATTAATACATATAAATGGTTGTCAATCAAAATAAACACATGTATTGTTGGACACAAGTATAATTTGAGATTCGCTGAATACAATTTTTATTGGTGTTGCCTATCATAATCTGTATGTAATGACTATTTATAGCAAGGGTGTACTATGTATGCATAGTAATGTATAAAGAAACAAACATTTTGTTGAAATACTTATACACTATTCTGAATTTATATCTAACTACCAACACTTTAAGTCTGGTAAACATTTATAGTGACATTCATACATGAATATCAATTGTTCAATAAATATAACAAGAGGCCCATGGGCCACATCGCTCACCTGAGAAGCTTTGACCATTCTGTTCTTTACCAGATTTCCCCCTTGTTATACATAATGCATCCCCACCCTACCCCACTGATCATAATTTAGACATTTTGAAATCTACACTACCCCATGATCCTTCCATGGGCACATATGTTTCAGCTTTTTTGGCCAAGTGGTTCCTGAGAAGAAGATTTTCAAATATTTTTCCTATATATTTCTATGTAAAACTTTGATTCCCTATAATGGCCCCGCCCTTCCCCCGGGGGTCATGATTCCTACAATTTAGAATTTACACTACCCCAGAATGGTTCCACATAAGCTTCACTTTTTCTGGCCCAGTGGTTCTTGAGAAGAAGATTTTCAAAGATTTTTCCTATATATTTCTATATAAAACTTTGATTTCCCACTGTGGCCCCGCCCTTCCCCTGGGGGTCATTATTTGAACAATTCAGAATCTACATTATACCAGGATGCTTCCACATAAGTTTCAGCTTTTCTGGCCCAGTGGTTCTTGAGAAGAAGATTTTCAAAGATTTTTCCTATATATTTCTATGTAAAACTTTGATTCCCTATAATGGCCCCGCCCTTCCCCCGGGGGTCATGATTCCTACAATTTAGAATTTACACTACCCCAGAATGCTTTCACATAAGCTTCACTTTTTCTGGCCCAGTGGTTCTTGAGAAGAAGATTTTCAAAGATTATTCCTATATATTTCTATATAAAACTATGATTCCCCATTGTGGCCCCGCCCTTCCCCCGGGGGTCATGATGTGAACAATTTAGAATCTACACTAAACCAGGATGCTTCCACATAAGTTTCAGCTTTTCTGGCCTAGTGGTTCTTGAGAAGAAGATTTTCAAAGACTTTTACTATATATTTCTATGTAAAACTTTGATTCCCCATTGTGGCCCCGCCCTTCCCCCGGGGGTCATGATTTGAACAATTTAGAATCTACATTATACCAGGATGCTTCCACATAAGTTTCAGCTTTACTGGCCCAGTGGTTCCTGAGAAGAAGATTTTTTAATGACCCAACCCTATTTTAGTCTTTTCTTGATTATCTCCCCTTGCGAGGGGATATGTCCCTTCATTTTAACAATTTAAATTCCCCTTCACCCAAGGATGCTTTGTACCAAGTTTGGTCAAAATTGGCCCAGTGGTTCTTGAGAAGAAGTCGAAAATGTGAAAAGTTTACAGACGGACAGACAGACGGACGGACAGACAGACAGATGGACGGACGACGGACAAAATGTGATCAGAAAAGCTCACTTGAGCCTTCGGCTCAGGTGAGCTAAAAACAGAACCAGAAAAAACATTGTAAGATTGTATATAAATTCAGGGAGCCAATGTCATTCATCTACATAAATCACCACAAAGAAAATGAAAAAATGTTGTCATTAATTGTAATCAATCAAAAGACATAGCAAGGTAATCAATAACCCCATCAAAATGTTCACCGTTTCTTATCTCCCCTTAAAAATTAAGATAGTATGCCAGGCCCTTTATTTGACAAATTTGAATCTTTTTTACCCAGGGATGCTTTGTGGCAAGTTTGGTTGAAATCGGTCCTGTCCTTTTGGAGAGAAGTTGAAAACATCAAGGTGAAATGTTTACATAAAACAGATGGCACACAACAGATGGGGTACTTCTAAGTCAGAAAAGTTCACTTGAGTTTGGCTCAGGTGAGCTAAAAATGTCATCAAAAGACATCAACTTTCATCCTCAGTGACAATAAAAGAGTTCCAAGTATGAGCATTTTCGAATCCATTCCTCCCAAACTGATAATCCTTTCTGGCCTGGTGAAGTTCCTCCTCTGAAGACATGACAAAGGGACCTATATAAATCACAAACAAGTTTACAAGTCGGTTACAGTATCCACTTAGTACCGATTCTTCACATAATCGGACTGCCATTTAGGGGCATTCTCAAAACCATTTTTCCCCGACTGATAGTCACGAAAAGTCTGTTGTAACTCATCTTGAGAGTTCATAACAAAGGGTCCTAGGGGATACAAAACAGACTCATAATTAAACACAAAAACATTTATAACAATCTATAATAATTTCCCTTTTCTGTTTATTTCACGTATTAAATTCAACCTTCCTTTAATTCTTCTTAGACATATGACTTACCATACTGAAAAACAGGCTCTTTGATTGGTTCCCCAGCAATCATTACTAAATGACATTCTGTTGACCCCTAAAATGTTAACAAAATTTCTTGCAATGTTCATAAAATGTTGTACAAGTCAGATAAAATTATGCAATGAATCAAATCTACACGTACCTTGTAATATCCAAATACAACATGTGTCTAATAGTACTGTATAATTATAAGATGATTACCGTAAATCTGGAAATTTTTACTGTAGATAAATTTTTAGCAAATTTGCGCGTGCATTGCATTCGCAAAAATATTTTTCTTAAAAATAAAACAACATGTGAAGAATTTTTTCTGAGAACTAGTGTCTTTTTTTTTAACTCAGTGAATAGGCGTCGGTAAGCACTGGTCATTTTTAAAAGAAACCTGTTTACACTAGTCTACTTATATATAACTACAAGTTAATTACCCGTGCGCGTCAATTGCCCTCATTACATGCAATATCGTCCGATGATTTGACAAGCACTGAGGCGGTATGCCCCCTTTTAATTATTTTCATCAATTAATTTGCCAATAAAGAGAGAACTGTCATTTTATCTAACCGTGTATCAACACGGGCGATAACTCAAACTCAGTGCATTTACTAGAAAGTTCCAAAAGTAAACGCGGCGTGTAAATTTTAGGTGAGAAAAAAACCAAAAGTTGAGAAAATTAGTTATATTTTTTCTTAATTTGGATTATACTTTAGGTAAAAAGGCATACACAACCTCTAAAATATTTGTTATAATTTATTTAGAAATTATTTTCAGTGCAAATCCTTTTGTATTTTTATCAAAATTGTTTTGGACAATTTTGCAATTTCTTGCCATGTTGCGAGTATATTGGTGGATATACTGGGCATATTATTTGAAAAATAACCTGATATGAAAATCTTCAGTGATTTTTATTTTTAGCACCAGTGACAATTCGCAATAATTTGAAGCGTAAAAATTAATCAACAGCTTTTTGAACCAAATTCGCAAAAATAAATCGACGTAAAAATTTCCAGATTTACGGTAATTCTGGCCAAAAGACTCATTTATCTTCAGCAAATTTATTTCATAAATAATTTTATGAAGAAACAAGATGTGTTTGTGAAACACTATGCGCCCAGGTCATTGACCTTGGTGTCATTTGACAGAGCTTAATTAGTGGAGTACGCATACCAAATACATGTATATATCTTTCATGGTTCAAAAGTTATGGCAAAGGTTAAAGTTGACAACAGACAGAGAGACAAACAGACAGACAGGACAAAATCAATATACGCTTCAATCTTTCAATCAAGATAATAATTCTTTAAATCAAGCTAAATCATTAAACAGCTTACCGAGTTCTCGGCCTGTATACTGTCTCCATCATCGTTGAAGGTCACCGTGTGATGAGCTTCATGTTCCTTCTGATTTCCTGCTGGACCTGTAACCATAGCAACATTATCTACTTTGTGTTACCATAGCAACATGATTTATTTTGTGTAAAAAGAGCAATTTTATCTAATTTGTGTAACTATAGCTTCATTATCTACTTTGATATCAGGATAAGTGTGAAGAGTCTAAACATGCAGCATTTTTTAAAAATTGATGCACAAAGTGCAATATACTTGTATGCTTATTTTATCTTAAAAGCTCGGACAATATTTTGATAAATTTAACATGACATGGATGATCTTAAATGGTTCTGTAATACTAGTTCTTGTACTGAACAACTGATACGATTCAGTACCTAACAATATGAAAATTATTTATCAAATACAAACGATTTATAAAGTTTTTTAACTGCTCACTCATGAATATGTACATGTATTGTTTCATTTTAAAGAATGCTTCTATCGACACTCCTTTGTTGTTTGAAGAAATAGAACTTTTAAGTTTGCATACTCTCCCATCTGTACAGGTAACAACCTATTTTTCCAAATCGCAATCACTTTCTTTAAATACCATATATGCAAGTCTTGCCGACCTACCAAACTTGGCTTTGCCAGACAGGATGTACAAGAAAGACCTCCAGCCAGAAGGAATTGGTTGTTCCAGTTTAGATCCAGGATCCAGCTTAAAGTCCAAATACATTGTAGGGGTGCGGGTATATACCTTAGACTATAACAATCATAGGAAAAAAACAAAGTCAAGATAAATTTCTGATAGGAGAATACGAACATAGTCCATAAGATTGTCATAGTAAAACAAAAATGCTTTCATTCAAGGGGCACTAGTACACAATTGAACTATTTTAAATGTTAAAATGTAAATGTGTGGAAATATAAATGTTGTTTTCAATTTAAGGGGGCCGACTATAGTTTCCACTGCGCAATATTTCACGCATCATAGTAAAATGAAAAGTAGTTAGTGTTTTAATGCAACTTTTTTCGCTTAATTATTAAAATTAAACAGAATTAAGAAATTACAGGTATAAAAATGTAATTACAATTTGACATAACTGATTTTTAACCGATTTTGCAATTGATAGGTAGGTTGACGTCGTTGCAGTGTGTTTTTGACGTTATGATAATCTGTAGCTCTTAAGGAGAGGGGTAATGAAAATATTATTAAAGAAAAAGTAATAAACATACGCTCTTGAAATTTAAAACACATAAATTTAAGGATATCTCTAATATCTTTATTATGTTTTCATGTGAATCTATTGTGTACGTCATATTTTGTAATACTCTACAAAAATAGGAAAATTTGCTAATTTTTTGCATTTTGAGATGCCCCCTCTGGTAACAAGACGGTAGAATTTTGTGTTTCTTACATATATTGTATAATATAGTATTACTCATCAAATATTATAGTTTGAACAAAATGTCTATTGTAGTTTTTGTATAATTTGCTTTAAAGTGCTAAAAATTGGCATTTTCCTATATAATCCTATAGTAAATGTGCCTATATTTTGAGACGGTCCCTCAAAAACACCTCGACGGTAGATTTCCCCCAAACTTTGCATGTACACTGAACTTAATGTAAGTTATATATGAGATAAAAATGAAGAGTTTCGCTATTGTAGTTTTCACACAATAAAACTATAGTCGACCCCCTTAAACATTTTTCTCTACTTTACCTTTATGCCAAAAGCTTCCCCAGCAATGACCTTGACTGTGACCCCATTTTTGGTTGTCCTTGGGATGTCTTTGTCCTTCAGCTCCTGATAAGCTGGTTCAATCATTTTGTATTTCTTGGCCAGGTTGACCCAGAGCTGTAGTCCGTGTACCTCCCCCTCTCCATGTGGCATCTCACAGTGGACTATTCCTCGGCCAGCTGTCATCCACTATATCATAAAAGATCATTAATTACTACATAGCAAACAATAAATAAAAATGTCAGAGGGCCTTTATTCTAAACAATTACAATACGATTCCTCTTATTCAATGTAGAAACACTGGGCAGACCAAACAATGTGAAGTAAAACCAGAACTAATTTTCTACATTGGTTTTCCTTTTACCTGTAAATCTCCATCCTGAATTATCCCCTTGTGACCACAAAAGTCTTCATGTCTTATTGAACCTTTCAAAACATATGTGACCTACAACAGAAAATATTCACTTAAAAACATAGGTGTCCATGATACAACATAAAATATTCACTTAGAATTCTGAGAAAACAATGATATTGAGGAGGACAAACAACATTGAAAATATTCACTCTTAGAATCAATACCCCTTTATTAACAAATATTGTAATTTGAACACATACGGTCTCAAACCCTCTGTGTGGATGGTCAGGGAATCCCCCAGGTGCCTTTCCTTTGAATTCATCCAGCATCAGGAATGGGTCAAAATTTTTCAACTGAAAATATTGTACAAAGCTGATGTAAAGGGTTATCAAATGAAGTCTTAATTTTTGAAAAATCTCTTTTAAAAAGAACAGATAAGAATTAACTCCAGAGCTTTAGTGTTATACTACTGTGATGATACCTCTGGTCTCCCTATACTCCGCCGGACTCTCGCCCCCACTCCCTCATCCTGCTCCACCGACAGTACCGTCTTCTGTACCGTCCTCCCCTTCATACTGGATACTGCTCGGGATGATATCCAACAAGTCTGGTTAGAAAATCTAAACGGATTGTACTGCTGACAGGTTCTCTTGAGATGACTACTGGACGTGGTTTTAAAACTTCCAAGTAGGGCTGACAATGTGCAGGTGACAATACTGTATCTACTCAGCATTCAGGGAACTGGAAAATTTATATGGTTACATCAGTTCACTCATCTTTATCTGTATTTTATTGGTGGTAACTTTCTCAAACTTTTAACAGACATGTATTCGAACACATACTATTCTTGTAAAAAAGACAATCAAATGAGTGAGAAATTTAAAGCAAATAGAGGAGTCAAGCAAGGTGATAATTTAAGTCCAACACTTTTTAATATTTTTGTTGATGATTTTGTGAATTATTTCAAGAATGTAAGTACATATCCTGCTTATCTAGATACTATGCCAATTAATCATATGTTTTTTGCTGATGATCTTGTCCTTGTATCAGAATCAGAAGCTGGTCTACAAAATTGTATAGATATTTTAGGAAAATATTGTTCAGACTGGAAATTATGTGTTAATATGGAAAAAACAGATGTTATGATTTTTTCAAAAAAATCTGTTGATGAAGCATCATTTAGATTTTATTATAATCACAAAATGATTAACATAACAAATGAATATAAATATTTGGGTGTTGTGTTTAGATCTGATGGGAAAATGAAATTTGCTGCTGAACAGCTATCAGAACGTGCTAGAAAAGCATATTACGCTATTAAATCAAATTTTCCTGCAAATGTTAATTTTTCTGCTGAAATTATGTTGAAATTATATCAGTCAATGATAATACCAATTATAACATATGGATCTGAAATATGGATAACTGACTTTAAATGTGATTTAATGTCTTCAGACCAGTTTCCTTTTGAAAAAACACAGCACTTGATATTTAAAGATATACTAGGGGTACACAGAAAGGCATCAAATCTTGCTGTTTTATGTGAGTTGGGTCGTTTTCCTTTGTACTATTTATGTTATGAATATATGTTAAAATATTATATGAGACTGAAGGAAATGGAATGCAACCATGATTATAACAATTATTTAGTGAAATCTGCATTTAAAGAAGACAAAAATCTTGTATCTAAAATATCTTGGCAAAAGAAACTGTCTTCATTACTACAAAAATTAAATATTAGTTCTTTGGAAATATCTCACATAACTTTGAAAAACAAATTACAAGAGCATTACCAAAACAAGATATATGAACAACTGGAAAAAGTTAGCAAATCAGACTCTGGAAAGTTAGCATTTTATAGCAAAATTGTGAATCAAGATGAATACAAACTGCAAAGTTATTTAAAACTACCCCTGAAGAAAAGTTGTAGATCTTTATTAACAAAATTAAGGATCAGTGCCCATCCACTATATATTGAAACGGGTAGATACTGTAAACCCCCTATTCCTAGAGAAAAACGTTTATGTTACTCATGTAAATTGTTTGTTGAAGACGAAAAACATTTTGTTCTTTATTGTCCAAAGTATGATCAATATAGATGCAATTATAATGATATATTTAATGTAAACACATATACTAGTGATAACCCCATTAGAAAAATTGTCAATCCTACAAATATTTCAACTGCTAGAAGGATATGTTGTTTCTTGAAAAAGTGCTTTGACATCAGAAAAGAAAGTCAAAAATGAATATTAATATTGAGAAATACACAATTTTGTTCACCTCATATTTCTCACTTTGTATATGCTTGTATTAATTGTGTTAATTTATGTTATGTTATTCATGTTCATGACTGTATGCCGACATGGTAATTGTCAATAAAGTGAATTGAATTGAATTATCTACTTGTATCTATATAATAGATATTACCTGGCAATTAACATTGTTTAACAGTTGTCAAAATCATACTGTAATCAAATGAATAAAATGAAAGTTGATCATTTTCTAGAAAAGAAACCATAGAGTGCTTCTACTCTGTTATCAGTTTATATTTACCTCGAGCTCGCAGTACACTGGCCTTATAAATACACATAGATTAATATAAGATCAAATCAATTTTGATTAATTGTGAAAAAATATTTATGGCATACAAAAGCTCCTGCTTATATACATAGCCTGTTGTTTGGATTGTCAATATTTAGAACATTCCACAATGACATGGCAGTATTTAAAAAGTTTACGTAACATGTTATATCAAATATCAATGTTGATTTAGCAGTCACTTGCAATATAATGCCCGTGCACAGTTAATATTTAAACAAAAAATTCGAATGATTTAAGAATTTGCGTGCTACTGTTAACAGCAAGTCCACTAACATGAAAATTCCTTGGGACAGACTGCCGCTACATTTGTAAAAAAACCAATGTTTTATTTTCTTATTTCTAATTACAGGAGAGTTCCGATTCGAGAGGCGGATCTTGCGTGACTGTGCATTATCAAAGATTGTATCATAGACCTAAAACGTTTTAGGTCTATGATTGTATTAAGACAATCATAAAATTTCCTAGGTTTTAAATATTTAAAAGACCTTTTGACCTTTATCTTTGACTCACTTTAAAAAAAAATAACATTGGACATATATTTCAAAGGCGCCGGAACCGGGAAGGAGGGGGGGGGGGGGGGCGTCTTTTAACTTTTTCATGACAATTATATTGTTGAATTTTCCTTCCTAATTAAGATCAATTACAACAGAGATACAATTATCTGAGTTCTCAAATTTTATTCTTATTACATACACAATCAACAAGTGAAAGTAAAGTAAAAAAAAATATTAACAATATTATAATTTTAAAAATGCTATTCATGCATGTAAAATATACAATAGTGTCTTTCTCTTTCCCTCTCTTCAGAATATGACTTATAAAAAATGTAACTTGCATGAGTTTCACACCTCAAATGTACGTGGAAATTTTCAGAAATAAAATTCTCATGAGAACCATTTGCTTGCTGATTGTCACAATCAAGAAACTAACATTTTTCAGCTCTAACATTTGTACAGTAAAACTTTTGTAATCCAAATGTTGTGTATTCCAGAATCTTGCCTAATACGATATAAACTTTATGTCCCTCTCAGAAATTTAAATTATTAATAATTACAATGTTGTCTAATCCTGAATGTTTTATAATCTCACAGATTTCTTTGGAACCAGTGATTGTCGAATTAGAGAAGTTTTACTGCACTTCTCTTTCTAACATACAAAACCAATAACATTTTACATTGAAGCATTTTTAATACTAAAATACAATAATAACAACTGAGAAGTTAATGTTCTTCATTAGAAAATAAACTTCTGTGATGTTTTTCCTCTAATTGATAATACAATTAGTATACATATGAGTCAGGTATTAAATTGTCATGGTTGTCATTTGTATCAATGAGCATTTTATTCCTTCCTGTTCACTGAGCAACATATCTTAACACACCTCCTAAGTGAGATCATTGGTCAGCTAACATTTGATTTGAGATTCCTCATATAATCAGACTGCCATTTTGAGGCCTTCTCAAATCCACTCCCTCCTGACTGGAAGTCAAGATAAGCCTGCTGGGTTTCTTCTTGCGAGTTCATAACAAAAGGTCCTGGAGGTAGAAGTGTTATAAATTATGATTTAAAGAAAAACAACAGAAAATGGACATTTTTTTTCAGGGATGGATGAACAGATTATTTGAACTGATTAATGTTTGACCCTGATATCTAGAAACGGCCATTTTTTAAATACCTCAATTTCAAGCAATATACCCCTTGCAAAATATGCTGGTTTATATATAAAGTGTTTTATAACTACAATAAGTCACATGACTTACCCTGCTGATAAACAGGTTCTTTGATTGGTTCTCCAGCAACCATAACTAAATGACATTCCGTTGCTCCCTGAAATATCAAATTGATCTTAGAATTAACATACAAATTCTGAGATTAAGGCTTAAACAATACTTTACTTCCACCTGCTCCAACAAATTTTGACACTATGCATTCACAGAATTTGATTCTTTATTCCATGAATCAGAGGATGATTATAGTTAGCCTACAATCAGTATTCACACTGGAAGCTGTTGGATACCCCCTCCACTCCAACTTCTAACCCCTCTCTTCCAAAAACAGATAGAAGATAAAGCCTGTAGCCTCCTTCCTCCTGTTTTTTTTAATGCTATGGTTTATAGTTTTTGGCCTGTATATCCGTCTGTTTTTTAGCAAAAACTTTAACCTTCCCAGCCAATAACTTTTTAGTGGGCAGAGCCATGGCTTTCATATTACACAGGTGTATTCCTTGTGACAAGACCTTTCTTAAAGTACCACCAAATTTGACCTCTTGACCTTAACCTTGGAGTTTGACCCACTTTTACATAAATTTTCTAAACTTAAACATTTGCTTTAACTTTTGATTAATTGGTGGTAGGGCTATCATACTTTATGTATATTCCTTGTGACAGGACCTGTTGGTATCCCTGAGTGATTAATATTTTACAGTAACACAGACTACACAATCAGCTTACAGAGTTCTCTACACGTATACTGTCCCCTCCCTCGTCCTCGAAGGTCACCAGGTGATGAGCCTCATGCTCCTCCTGACTTCCTGCTGGACCTGTAACCATAGAAATATTTTGTAATTAAAGGTCAAGATATAAAAATGTAACCATGGATTTGTTTACAATTTTGAAAAATAAGGTGTTTGCATGAGTTAATTTATAATTTTGAAATGTCCTGCTGTAACAACCCTTACCCACTTAATTTACAAATATACTGCAATGTTTATTTCATACTTTTCTGTCTTTATGTATTGTCAGATTTCTTTGGATATCAATGTATAGTGTCTAACATGAAGCATTTTACCTACCAAACTTTGCCTTGCCAGACAGGATGTACAAGAAAGACCTCCAGCCAGCAGGAATTGGTTGTTCCAGTTTAGATCTAGGATCCAGCTTAAAGTCCAGATACATCGTAGGGGTGCGAGTGTATACCTTAGACTAAAAGAATTATACTGGGTAAAAATACATATGGCAAAATTCAACATCTTGGCTAAAGTATGCATTATCCACTACAAGTCTTTTGTTCTCTATGATTTTGAAAAACAAAATAAATACATATCTGGAATATAAATATGTTTAAATATATTTTATGTACATAAAATTCTCTTATTAATAAGAGTTGTTCATCTCTGAATAAAATATAACGCTGCATGGGTCATTCTATTACTTTTATTCCAAATGCTTCCCCAGCCAGGACCTTGACCTTGATCCCATCTTTGAATGTCCTTGGGATGTCCTTGTCCAGCAGCTCCTGAAGGGCTGGCTCCCCCATCTTTTCTTTCTTAGCTAAATTGACCCAGAGCTGTAGTCCATGTACCTCCTCCTCCCTGTAAGGCATCTCACAGTGGACAATTCCTCGACCAGCTGTCAACCACTAAATATAGAAAGACAAGGCCAGCTGTCATCCACTATAGAAAGACAAGGCAGCCACATTTAAGTGCATGCCACCCACATAATCAAGTACAACTAACACAAGGTCAAAGTTAGCTGCAAGTCTCACTAAAAATCTGTACAACACAACTGAGGGTGATGAAAGGATTTTCTGCAAGTTTAGTTATTTCTATGAGAGGCATATTATTAAATAAATAAAAATAATTATGTGGATGGTATATATAGTGAGGCTTGGTAAATAGATTAAATACCAATTTTTGGTATGTCTCAATTAAGTTTGGATACCAGGAGAAAACCTCATTGCTTATCTTAAGGGGAGTGCGTCTTTTATATAGGTATGTCAGATGCAGTATCAGACTTAACATTTACAGACACACCCCTTACAGTTTAGATACTGTTGTGAGTCACATCGATGCCTAGGCCTGGGATATCTCATCCCAAGTTACTGGTACAAACTCGTATGTATCACTGCACATCATATCTGCAAGTTTGGCTTGAAGTTAAATACCCCTAAAATCAAATATGGACTTACAAACATACACTATAAGTTTAAACAAGAGGCCCATGGGCCTTATAGGTCACCTGAGTATCATGTAACAACTTTCCAACAATTGCATGAATTTGATTCGTGTTTTAAACCAAAGGCCATGAAATTCACAATTTTGAAAGAGGCACCATTGCTTATCATAACTATACACTTAGCATGCTTACTTTGGTTACATAACACCCAGAGGTAGATCAGAGTAACAAAGAGAAAATTTTCACCATAAGTTGTGCACCTATCCCACAGGAACAACTAGCCTTGGGGCCACATCTTTCAAAATTTTGGAAATTTTATAAATTTTATTTCATAATGTTGTTGATTAATACCTATGTGCATATTTCAAAGCATTAAATCATTTTCAAACTATGTACCCCCAATCCCCCCCAGTACCTCTATCCCAGGGCGCCTGGAAATTAACCAACTAAGATCATTGGCATAATACCCAGGAGCAAAGGAATGGATTTTAAAAGAATTCATGCATTTTCAATATATAAATGTTAGAGCTCCACCCTAACATAATAAGCCCTGACCCAGGGGCCCTGAAATTCACAAATTTTAAAAAGGCATCCTTCCTGTTCATAACAATGTACATAGTTCATTGGTTTAATACCCAGGTGCAGAAAAGAAGATTTTAAAAGAATTTTTGCATTTTCACTATATAATCAATAGAGCCCCACCCTAACACCAGAACCCCGAACCCTGGGGCCATGAAATTCACAATTTTGTAAGAGACAACCTTATTCAACAAAACTATGGACTTGGTCAGTTTATTTCAAACTCAGGAGCAAGTTTTTAAAAAGAAATAATTCATTTTCACTATATAATATATATAGCCCCACCCTAGCACTAGAACCCCTGACCCTGGGGCCATGAAATTCTCAATTTTGGAAGAGGCAATCATTTTCAACTTAGCTATGCATTTGCATTTATTTAATACCCATGAACAGAGAAGAAGAATTTCAAAGAAATTATGCATATTCACTATATATTCTATATAGCCGCCCTAACACTAGAACCCCTGAACCTGGGGCCATGAAATTCACAATTTTTGAAAGAGGCAGTCATTTTCAACTTAGCTTATGCACTTGGTTAGTTTATTTAATGCCCAGGAGCAAAAAAAAAAAGAACTTTTCATGATATAATCTATATAGCCCTGCCCCACAGGCACCTGAGATTACTTATTTTTCTTTTAATAAAAAAAATATACACATACCTAATAATAAACAAGGTTTATTATTAGGTATGTGTATATCTTTTTTTTATTAAAAGAAAATTAAGTAACGTCAGGTGCCTGTGCCCTGCCCTAGCACTAGAACCCCTGACCCTGGGGCCATGAAATTCACAATTTTCAACTTAGCTATGCACTTGGTTAGTTTATTTAACGCCCAGGAGCAGAAAAGAAGAACTTCTAAGAAGTTATGCATTTCCACTATATATTCTATATAGCCCTGCCCTAGCACTAGAACCCCTGACCCTGGGGCCATGAAATTCACAATTTTTGAATAGGCAGTCATTTTTAACCTAGCTATGCATTTGGTAAGTTTATTTAATACCCAGGAACAAAAAAGGAGAATTTCAAAGAAATAATGCATTTTTACTATATAATCTATTTAGACCTGCCCTAGCACTAGAACCTCTAACCCTGGGGCCATGAATTTCACAATTTTGGTAGAGGACTCAATGCTGATTACAATCATACCAACAGTTTGACTGCTTGATGTCCAGGAGTAAAGAAGAAGATTTTTAAAGATTGCACTAATTTTGTGGTTTTAGCCCCCCACCCCCGGCCCCTGGGGGGCAGGGACCATGAAATTCACAATTTTTGTTCTCCTTTACCCATAGATGCACTATGCCAAATTTGGTTGAAATTGCTTCAGTGGTTTCAGAGAAGAAGCTGAAAATATTCAAATGTTAATGCACGACGCACGGCGGACGAAAACGGATAGCATAGGTCACCTGAGTTTACTCAGGTGACCTAAAGACAGTCAGACAGAGAGATAAGTGGATGGACACAGTGATGTCTGTTTACCCTTCTCTCACACAATGTGTAGTAAATTTTATTAAGCACACAGGACTGATCTTTTTACCTTACTTACTTGTATACACCTTTGACTTATTCTTACCTGTAAGTCCCCAGGTTGAAGTAGCCCTTTGTGACCACAGGAATCCTCATATTCAATACCTCCTTTCAGAACATAGGTGACCTACATTGGTAAAGCATTTTAGTTTAGTATAATCCAATTTATAAAACAAGCAGGATTCTATGAGAAATTGGTATTTTAGTCAGAGTTTAAGTAATTTTAAACAAACCGCCTCAAATCCTCTGTGTGGATGATCTGGCATTCCGTCCGATAACTTGTCTGTGAATTCATCAAACAACAGGAATGGATCAAAAGTTTTCAACTAAAAAATAAATCACAAAAGAAATGACACCAACTTTCTAAAAAAAATTATCCATCTCAAGTTTAAAATACATTTTTAGAGTAATGGTTCAGATGTTAATTGTATATATGATATTTAGCGGTATATTCACTGACCTGATGTCTCCTAAAATATAACCTTAAGAAGAAAACTTTTTGCATCTGTACAACAAACTCAAACTTTAACCGTTGAAACCATAGGTTTTCAACTTGTAGCAAACATACTGTTTCACTTCCGTATTTCTTGATGACCTTGACCTTTGAAATGTGACCTGTTATTAAGGTCATGACACACATTTTACATGTAGGTCATCAATAACAAATAAACAAACTTAAAGTTTTGATGCTTTTAATATGAATAAGACAACAAAATTAGCAGTAAGCACATATATTATTTTATTGTCCCCCACTTTCACCAAAGCAATCACTCAGTAAATCTCATTTGTCTGTCAATCTTGGTAATATCTTATAAATGAGAAGAGATAGGGCTTTCATATTTCACATGTACATTATCTGAGACAAAACCTTTCCCAATATTTTATGATTCTTTAACCTCTTGACCTTGACGTTTGACCTACTTTTCCAAAAAATTAAGCATTACTAAAGGCCAAAGCTTTTGAAAGAAAAAATTAAGATAGTGCTTTTATATTAAACCTATTCTGTGACAAGACCTTTGTAAATATAGTACGATTATTACCCTAGTTGTGACCTTGACCTTGATGTTTGACCTACTGTTCAAAAATGTCATCTTTCCGTGTAACTTCTAGAATTCTAGAATACACCTGTGCAGCATGGGATCCCTGGAACTCCAAGCAAGTCCATCAGCTGGAGAAAGTGCAAAGACAAGCAGCACGATTTGCCACCAAAAAGTACCATGATAACCACCCTGGGAGTGTTACCCAGATGCTACAAAATCTACACTGGGAACCATTACAAACAAGAAGAATGAAGATAAGACTCATCTTGTTATACAAGATTGAGCATGCTTTGGTGGCTATCCCTGCAGATATGTACCTGACACCCAGTGACAGAAGAACCAGAGGCAGCTACACTTACCGTCTACCACACACCCGGATCGATGCACATCGATATTCCTTCTTTCCGAGGACAATTCTAGACTGGAATAACTTTACCATCTGTAGTTGCCTCAGCACCAACATTAGAGTCCTTCCGGACACAGCTGGACTCATACACAAGGAGCCAGCTGCCCACCAACACTAACTAAGTGTGCCAGTTTTTAACTTTTTATTGTACATAGTGCCCTGATCGGGTTTTTAGCCTTGTCCGTCGCGTGTGACAGTCCGAGTTCAACGCTCTAGTAGTAGTAGGTCTCAGTAAACTCGTATGGGAAGAACTTTTGATTGAGAAGAGATAGGGCTTTCATATTTGACATGTGCATCTGTTACAAGATGTTTTCGAGCATGACATGATCCCAACCAATAAGACATCGAAAGCGGGTACGTATCACAATTGTTTGATTTTCACTAGGTGCCGTTCTAACCATAATTCGATTCCGGACGCCAGTCTCCCTGATTCAAGCAATAATCAAACAATTGTGATACGTACCCGCTTTCGATGTCTTATTGGTTGGGATCATGTCATGCTCGAAAACATCTTGTAACAGATGCACATGTCAAATATGAAAGCCCTATCTCTTCTCAATCAAAAGTTCTTCCCATACGAGTTTACTGAGACCGAATTATGGTTAGAACGGCACCTAGTGAAAATGGCACCTGGTGAAAACGGCACCTGGAATATGCAAAACGGCACTTGGTTAAAACGGCACTTAGTGAAAACGGCACTTGGTTAAAATGGCACTTAGAGAAAAAAGTATATAATAGTGTTATGATATATATTTCACATAAGTTCTTTTTAAGTCAAAATTTAATTTATTGACTTTAGAATTTTTTGTGGCTTCAATTTTGCTTTATTTTCAATCTATTTTTAAAGGTAGTGTTTTTAAGCTATAACACAACAATATGTGGGATTTAGAATAATTATATTTGTAGTGTAGTGTTGATAATATGAAAAAAGAAATGGTGTAAATGATTTAAAAAAAAAATATTTACAGTAAGAGTCACTTTATCTCACATTTCTATCTAATTCTGTAGAAATTATTTTAACAATATCAACATTGTATATCTTCATTATAAAAAAACAAATGTTTTGTTCTTGTATGTACATGTTTATTATATTATTAAATGTTGTATGGCTACTCATATTTTATGTACAGTTGCGAGAGGATTATCTAAGTTTTTCTAACTTGTGTACAATCCATTTGACATTTTGTCGAGAAATACACAATAGTAGCTGTATATGATTGCAAATTGACGATCAACAGATTATTGAAGGGGAGGTGTGAAATGGTCTTTTGTTTCCTAAACCTACAAGTGTATTCTTAGTAAACATACTCTAACTGGCTTCTAATTAGTCAACTGTGACTGGCAACCCCCAAAACAGAGTAGTATACATATTTGCAACACTATAATTTTTTTAATTTCAAAGGATCATAATAATATAATTGGGATTTGATCTCTTTTTAGTAAATAAATATATATGATTTAAAATATAAATACATTTTTAAAATCTAACCCCTGTACAAAAGTATAATAATTTTCAAATGAATCAGTTTAATTTTTTTCCTAAAATATTTTTTAAACTTTTTATCAATAATAATATACATATACACATTTATTACTATAAATGTAACATAAAGATCCATTTTCTGTATAAACAATATCAAATTCTCAAAATAAAAAAAGTGCCGTTCTGACTTTTCTAAAGTGCCGTTTTGACTACTCTGAAGTGCCGTTTTGCATATTTCCTAAGTGCCGTTTTCACCAGGGGCCAACTCGATTGGGACCCTTCTAGAAGCAGAGGGGAATGTCGGAAGGGTTGGAATATGTATGTCTAAATCGAGTGTTTAGAAGGGTATTGAATATTATGGAATATTATCTGCAATGTTTGAATTACTGCAGTAGTTGTTTTTCAAGAATTTGAATCCTTTAATTTAAAGCATTAAATGTTAGTTCGAAAGGGAAACTTGAAGAGATAATTAAGAGTGGAAAAAAATATTATTTAATATGATAGTTTTGGGAATTTTTTTATCTATGTAAAGAAAGGTTTAAAACATCAAGTGCCTGAGACAGAAGAATATTAAACTACATGTAAAAAAAAAAAATATAATAATCATGGTAAAATCAGGGACCTATTTATTGCTCAAATCTTCAACCCATATTACATGGTAAATAATGAATCTTAGATAGAATGTTCTATCGTTAAATTGATATTGTCCTACGGACCCGGTTTAACGATAGAATTCGTTCCGTGTATTCGTAATGTAGCAGAAAGAAACACGGGCGATAACTCGCATAGTGCATTTACTAGGAACAATCTAGAGAGTTCCGAATGTAAACATGGCAGGTAATTTGAATCTAGAGAAAAACGTTGAGAAAATGAATTGGATTTTCGTATTTATATGGATTATTTTTTTTGGGATAAAAGGCATAAGCAATCTCAAAAAGGTTTGTTATGATTAATTTGCAAGTTATTTTCAGTGCAAATCCGTTTGTATCCTTCAAAATCGTTTCGGTGCGATTCTGCAATTTTTTGCTACATTACGAGTATATGGGTGGTATTCTAACTGAATGAATCTGTGTTCGATGGTTGATTTTACTGCAATTACATAACAGAAAAAATGCTTCTTAACAGAATTATCCTTCATACATTATAAAAATATTTTTTGCAACTGTATTTTGTTTAAAGTTTGGTTTATCTAAGTCCCCCAAGTTTTCATCCACCCGCTTGACGCCATATTAGAATGCTATCCTTCTGCAATCCTTCCATCTCTGACGTGGAAGGCTGAGAAGGCCTTCTAAGTCTACCCTACCAAACCAATCGAGCAGACAGATTGGTTATTCTGGAATAAGAAGGGTCCCAATCGAGTGGGCCCCAGGTGCCGTTTTGACTTGTACCCCCGGAATCTCCCCTGCTGCAGGAGACACTTAAAAGACTACAGGATTACCTCTGGTTTTCCTACACTCCGTCTGACTTTTGCTCCGGGTCCTACATCCTCCTCCACCGTCGGTAAAGCCTTTGATACGATCTTAGCCTTCATTTGTTGAGAACATAGCATAGATTAATTAATCACAAACTTGTTTTGATTGACCATTGTTGATGTCAACATTTCGGAGACCTTTCATTGTTTCCAATCACAGAAGAGCGGTTTATGCAAGGGGCGGATCAAAAAGAAAATATTGGGATGAATGTCTTTTTTTTCTATTTTTACATCGTTTCATAAAGATTTTAATCATAATATATATTCAGATTTTATTTTCATTTTAAATATGTTATTGGTAAATGAAAATAAAATGCAGTGCACCAATTTCGTTTTTCTAAGTGATCGATTCACACCTCAATCCAGTTAATTTTTACACAAGTACAATGTCTATTGTGACATTATTGTGATGCTTTAGATACAGCTTGGGAATGAACATTACAGAAAAAAAACTGTGCAATCTGACATTGAGAAAATTTCAGAAGCACCTAAAGGCTGAAGTCATTATAGCAGTGTGCATCATTTATGCAAGAATTACTGTATAAAGGGAAATTTTCGCCCCCGTTTTATTTTCGCCTCTTTCGCCCGTGTCACAAGTGGGTGAATTTAAAACAGGGCAAGTTCAAAGAACACAGTATAAATTCTTAAACAGAACTGGGACTGGGCGAATTTAAAACGGGGCAAATTTGTAAGCAAGTGTAAAAAGGGCGAAAATAACACGGGGACGAAAATAACCATGCATACAGTATTCAGATATAGTTGC